TAGTCTAGTACTGTGAGCGAGAGACGTTAAATGGATACTATAGTTTTCACCCGAATACACAAATACTTTGTATGACCACCTCAATAGGCCAATGTTCACTAAGCTTGCTACATCACTATTTGATTCTAATTTCGTTTTATTGCCACAACTCAAATGTCTCTGCGAAAGAGCGTACAGAATTATCCTTTTTTCGTATAGTATATTTTTGGGCCATAACACGAAGAATCGTTAGATGTTTGTCTGAGTAAAAATGACCCCGGGAATCGAATTTCAAACATACTATGAAGAAAGCCTCCCGCTCGGCCGTCTCGGCACTGTTAGCGGCGGTAATCTCCTGGTGAATGAATTAATTGGGATTGAATATCAAACGCCGCTGCTGCTAACCTGGGGGCGATAGCTCTTACGTTTCGGCGCTTTACCGAGAAACTTTCTACCGGACGCCAGACTGTTTGACGCACTTCCAATCATCTCGGGACCACAAGGAAAATGGATACAAATGTCTTTCTAAAGAGATAAATATTCAGCGGAATTTGGTTCATAGACCACTTCAGCGGTTCCGGTGTGTTTAATTCACATACAGTCTTCCTTGACATTTCCACAGCAAAGAACGCGACCCAAGATAAAGTTTGTGTCCATTTTGAACTTCAAAATTCCCGACTTTTGCGCGGCTTTATCACAGCTATACTTCAATAATATGACTAGAAAGCTCATGAGGTGCAGAGCACCACTGTAATAGGGTCATAACTCCTCTGCGAACAGAGTCATAAGCTTTACTTAACGTCACTCCACCGGCAATTTTCCCCGCTGTATAGGAAAACTCGGGTCATGCTCCCTCTGAATGTGCTGTTGCAACAGGGCATTAAGAGCAATTCCGTGTTCCGACCTCTTCTTTACCCAATACCACCAGGGAACAAAAGCTATCAGTATAATTGATGTGTGACCATTTGCAGGCCGGCCCATTCCCTTGCAAATGCGCGCGGTGCCCCGGGTTCAGGCCGTGTCAGGGTGCTAAACGTGGGGTGAAGCGGGGAGGACGGGAGCGTGACATAACGCGACTCTTCACAGGACAGCGCCACGGCGGCATATGGCGGTGTCGGGATGTGACGATCCCTTCCGTCCCCTTGTGCCACTTAACTGTCGGAGCCATCCGCCGTCCTATCCTCTTGCCTGACTTGTCAAGGTCGTCACTCCCACAGTCGTCCGGAAAACGTGACTGCCTTCAACAAGTCATGAGGATAGAAACGTCAGAGATAGGAGCAGCGTTTAACTGAGATGAATGGGAAATGGAAGGTGTATGAAGCTCTTAATGGCCTAGTCTTTTATCAATTGATGGGCATGATCTCGACAAAAGGACTGGCGCACAGGATTTACACACATCCACTCATCAAGTTTCCTCCCATCATTTTACACTCTGACCACGACACCGCCCTGCTTATTTTCGCTGTAATGTTAACTGTTGATGATAAAATTTAAGATGAGCAGATAAAGACGTTCTCACATTGCAAATATGAATTCTTTTGCTGGTAATCTATCTTGAAACAGACGGCGGCGCATATCGATGTAATGTTCTCCAATCTTTCGCACGAGTGTCGGAAAAGGAACACTTCATAATAGCCTTTATACTCGTAATAGAAGCCACAAAGCAAAATGTCAGCTTGTCGCTACCATTGCGCTACTCGGCGTACGATATGGCCGGTGGGACCGAACCGCCCCTAGCGTTTTAGCGGGCTGGTAGACGGGCTAAATGGAGTGTCAGGGCTCGTGACAGACGACAAGTCTGCAGGTCTGTACGGCACGACGTGTGTGAGGATTCCAAACACGCAGACACACTGGCGGATCGTGCAAAGCAACGACAGAAGTTGTACAAGTTCGAACCATTCGCCTTTGGATAACGATAAGTCCAGAAAATGTTGAAGAGTGTTTTCCATTGACATATTTTAGTCCACTAACATTATGCGCGACTGCCAAGAATCGGAACTGTACGTTCGTCTCAGATGGATGGCTCTTTTGACAATACTAAGCCAACGGTCACCCCCCATGGGGATAAACATGTAAATAGGGTTGTGAACATAACATACATTTTCCTGTTGTTGACTGTTTTGTGGTAAAAGAAAAGCAAACATTTTCGGTCCTTTACTGACACCCCCCATCAAAACTGGAATGATGGCACATAAATGTAACTGTCCTTGGTGCTGAATGCCATCAACTGCAACTGTTAGATACTATTTCCTGTATATCCTCTATTTTATGATGGAATTTTGTTCCAAAATACCGAGAAGACTAGAAGACATAAAACGAGCTGGCTGTTACATTGGTATGATCATAAAACAGATACTCATGGACCTAAGGGATCCTACTTCTAACAGCAACCTGCACTGTATGTTTTCACTATTACTCGTATATACATGTACATCCACACATATTATGTCTTGTATAATGTAGTTCAGAGCTTCATGGCCATGTAGAATACTTCCTCTTACTTTGTACATCAGATTGCCAATCTTTCTACATTGTTTTGTATTTGTATGATACTGAGTTAGCAGGTGAAGAATAATTTTGGGTGGAGAGGCCTTCTGCATATGTTGATGACTTATTTACATAAAACAGTGCAGCAAAAATACAGGCTAACGTGATGCAAATGCCATATCCTCTTATGAGCTTTAATTTCAACAAAAGCCTCAGCAAACCAAGTAATAGCAGAAAGTAGAATTGACTGATCACAATATTGTGCACTTCATAACAGGCTAACTGTTACAATGATTACTTATAGTAATCATGTTCCAAATCATTCAACCAAACAAAAAGAAACAACTGTTAATTACTAGAATCCTTTTCAACTTCCAGGGTAGAAAGTCTTTGATAAAATCATCACAATCCTACCCCAAAATGTGACAAACAATCCCACCTGTTTCACCACTATGACTATAAAGCAAACTACTGAAGACATCTTCAGACATGATAATATAACATGTACTGACTGGGTATGTCTGTAGACATCAAACCAACATTCAAATGTAAGTGATGACACTGTAAAATCAAGTACATATTCTCCTTGCATCATACTTTAAATACAACCATTATATTTGATTTCAAACTCATAAGGATGTAGGGATATCAAATAATCAGGGATATTAAATCAGCTAATAAAGGTGCTTCATCTTGATCTCTTGCTTCACATTGCTGAGTTGTGTACATCATGGCACTTTGCTCAGCAGCCAGCCTGACAACTCAGGGTTCTTAACAGTACAGCCAAACCCTGGGTTGAACAGCTTCTCCAGGTGGTTAATGTTCTCCAAAGTGACAGAGAACGGAGCCTGCAGGAAAATAGACAAATAATCATTGACCATGAGGAAATTGTACCATCACCTTGTATGTGTTTTACTTGAGAAAAGAACTGTACAATGAGGACATTGAGAACACCAGGTTGCATGAAGATTAATAGTTATATGACGATAAGTGATTTTGGTTGGGAGCACCCACCTCTGTGACTGGTTCCTGGTCAGCCTGAAGAGTGATGAGACTGTGGGCATCAGTCACGCTCTGCTTCAACAGAACCTGTCAACAAACACAACATTTTGATTAGAACAGAATGTTAAAGAGTATGCACAAGTATGTGTAAAATACATACAAAAAGACTCAGATTTCACACAATTTCACAAATTCAGCATGACAACTCAAAATAATGAATGACACAGCACATTTCCTAATCAGGCAGGAAGGAGCATGCTAGGAGGAACTGAATCAGACGTACCTCCAGCTGCTCATCCCTCCTACTGGCAACCTTGGCAGACAGTGGCTTGATTCTCGTCTTCTTGCCCCCCTTGGCCTTGTCAGGTACAGGGGTAGTGTTGCGGGATCCCCCCTCAGGCCTGGGGGTGGGGGTTTCCCCTAGGGACATGTCTGCCAGCTGACTCTGAATGGCCAGGTTACGGTGCAGGTCTAACAGCTGGCCCAGGGGCACTCTGATCTGTCCTGTCAGGAGACCTGCCATAGGGTGTTGTTATAACTAATTAGGTTGGTTCTTGTGATCAGAAGTCAAGTGCACCAAGTGAAATGTGATTCACATTTTCTGATCTTGACATACAGGATGATATGAATTTGACAAAGCAGAATTTGGTACCTTACAAACACAACTGTTGAAAATCAACACAGCAAATACAGTAAGATGAAAATATGTGCATAATCAAGAAACAATAAACCATGACAAGTCTGAACCATTGTGATTGTGGAAAACACATTGCAGACATTTGTAACTATCCATCACAGAAAAAAACAGCCAACAACATCTTTATGGTGTTCTTTCTCTATGTTGGATAAGGACGTTGTCATAAAAAGCTGCAACTTATGAAAAACGTGCATTAACTGAACACAGCAAAAACCCAAATCCATGCAACAAACAGTGAATGAACCTGAATTTCATTCTATGTGCATCTTATTTACAGTGTCTGCCATACCTTTGGGAAGGATATAGTCTTCCATACCTTCTGGAAGGATATCATCTGCATTAGTAATGGCAGCAAAGTAAGGAGGCAAATAAAAATGGGTTATGGTTAACTTTAATTAGATAGCAATACTTATCATTAGTATATGCTATGTTTGTAATATCCATTAGGCCAGTGTATTGTCATTAGTACATAATATGTTGGTGCTATCTATTAGACCAGTGTATTAATCTCAAGTTGTCCAATAGAAAATTATATGATTTAATTCTATTGGTGCATGTTACTGTTATACAGGTTAACCAATGCAGATGCAGAATGCACACGCACACAGGAAAGAGTGGGATTATCATGCTACATTTGTGTCTACTCATCCTGAGAGGTTAATAAGCATTTCAGGCACAAGAAGCAAACAATTGGAAGCCTGATCCAAGACGTTCCATTATTGTACTTACCGACAGTGTTGGTGGAAGGTGTTGCCTTAATGGGCTGTGTGTTGGCAGCATACATCAGTAAGACTTTCTGTTTATCCTCAGGACCATGTACATCCAACCCTGGCTGGTACCACTGTAGACTCAGCTCTTCCTTATTAGGAGCCAACAAGGCAAGGTCCTCCTTTTCAACCACCTACATGTACAAGTAGAAGTAGTGTTTCAGTAACACTCATTCAATGATTCTTTAAAGAAATTTTGTGCAGAATGAACTGTACAATGAGTTGTTGATGCCAGCTGCACTAATATTTCTCTTATCAACAAGTTTGATCCATAATCCAAGATATTACAAAAAGTGCTGACCCTTGTGTGTGATGCCTCCCTGCTCAGTGCTTGTGATGGATCCTCTGCTGTCTTGGTGTCAGGACCTGTCAGTAGATTGTCCACATAGCTGACAGAGATCAGGCTCACATCTGGGGTTGGTTCTGCCAGGGGGAGGGCCAGGTCCTGTACAAGCAGTGCACATTGTATATTCTTACAGTACACTTGTGGCAATGTTTGATATACAAGTCACAAATATACACTTTACATCTTCAACTTATACTGCCATGCCCAAATTCTACTTGTATAACATGGAACAAATGTAGCCTACCTTGGGCGGGTTGAGGGCCACGCAGTCTGAGGCATACATGGGCAGGTGAGTCATCAGGTACCTGTGCATCTGGGTCAGACGCAGGACCAAACCACTGTTAAACAGGGGTGATCTGGCCAGGTCACGAGTGCTACTGACACTGCCATAGGTACTCTCCAGGTCCATGCCACTCAACTCAGACAGCTGATCAGACTTGTCTTCCTGTGTGTCCCCCTCAGCAGTAGATGCACCTTGAAATGAAGATCAAGGTTTTAAAAAATGTTCTTATGAATACTTAACAAATTGAAAATTGTCAGCAATAGCCTTTACAACTATATGTTGTTATTGGATGGGCAGCCTTCCTCTTAACAGCTAGGGGCTGAATTGTAAGGAGCATGCAGCCTATGGTTTACCTGTATTAGCTGTTGTTGCCAGACTCTGCAGCAGACTGGCATACCCCAGCATGTGGACCCAGCTCAGCTGTCTGGCAGCAGCCCTGGTCCGAGAGATCACATCTCTGGCCAGCTCATCTGCATCCTTGTCCACATCAGACAACTGGGAGGCCAGGTTGGAACCTTTGGAATAATAACCAGATCATCTAACAGTTGTAAAATCAACTTCTGCAATTGTAAAATGTATCAATTTATCATCAGATGTCTTTAAAAATACTAATATTTTTCTCACACATCCTCAAGACCAGACTGTATTTTTGTAGTGAGGGACTGATCTATACATATTTCTGTTTTTACAACTCCTTTCAGGTGTGAAGAATAATAAGTAAGATTATCAGTAATACCTACCCATGAGCATCTTGCCAACAGACAGATGTGAGCTGACCATGTCCAGAAGGGCATATTCCGGCATCTCTGCCCAGGCCTTCTGCTTCACTGCCAATGTTGTAACCTGCACAAACAAAACCATTGCAGTGTCAATTAAGATGTGTGGATGCTTGATCAGAGACAGACCTTGCAATAATAATAGTGAACTTCTTATATATATTATGTATATACCCTTAAATCATTTCATTTCCCATTTCAAATGTGTCTAGAAAAGCAATCAATATGTGAGACTGCAATGACAAAGCCACTCCACCTGTGGGTTTCCTGCGAGAGTCATGCTGGCCCTCTGTACGTCAGCAATGGCAGCGGCACACCTGATGGCCAGCCAGGTAGCTCTCTTCTCTCTGTCCTGTTCTCGTTCTTCCTTGTTTCTTGTGGCTGCTCCAATCTTTCCCAGCACTCGAGCCCTCTCCCTAGTTTTGGCCTGAGGGTGGAAGAGTGTTAGACCATTTGACCAAGAACACTGACAGAACAATTCCAATTTTTTAATTCCTCATAATTCCTGAAAGTGGTTTTAAGCTTCCTCTCATGTTACTTTACCCCTGGTGACCTCTTATTCCCTATTTCTATAGCAGAAAGCACTTTCAGTCTTGGATGAGCTCCTTTTAAGCTTAAACTTACAACATATGTTATGAGCTTAAAGTACCCATCAAAATTTTGAGCAAAATCTTTGAAGAAAAACAGCTTGCAACAAGTTGTAATAAAAATGCATCACCTTCACGGCAGCTGCCCGTTTGGCCTTCTGCCTGGGACTGGGGCTCTCTGGGAGGTCTCCCTCGGTTACTGACTTGGTGGGAGAGACGGCCTCCTGTGAGGGCTGCGGGGTCACTTCTGTGCTCTGGGTGGCAGTCACCCTGCTGAGGGCACCACTGGTCAGCAGGAAGGTCAGGGCTATCTCCAGGTATGCCTGCCTCATCAGTCTGAAGAGAACAGTAGATTTGATAACTGTTGGTGAGAACAGTTCCATCCGTTTTCATGTAGCTAGACAAACCAACAGTTCTGATATACTGTACTTTACTTAATATCTTAGTCTTCAGTAAGCCTTGAAATGTTTCTCCCTGAATAGGACCTGTATAAGAAACCTAGATATATGATGATGACATACCCGAGATCATGGTTGCTTGCATGGCTGGTGGTGATGGCCTCTAGGAGAGTGGCAGCCGCACCCCTGGATGGGTACTTCCCAGTCAGGCTCAACTGACGCTGCACCATGCCTGCACAGGACACAAAGAAAGCCATAAATACCACTGTTAGCCAACACATGCATGCTGACTACTTCTACTTTCCATTTTCAGCTTTAGTTACTGTTGGTACAGGTTGAAGTAGCACATCACTACAATCTAAAACCATTGTGAAATTAACCTGTTGCCTTTCTTACCTGACTTACATTCCAAACACCTTTGTAGTTAGTGAATAATCAACTCACCATGTTGAAGCAGTATCTCTGCCTCCAGATGAGGCTGCCTGTCCGCTGCCGCCCGGCACAGCCCCAGGGTGGTGGTGAGAACAGTGGCAGGGGGCAGCCAAACATCAGACCCTGGGGACACAGCCAGACATGTTAGCAGGGTGGGGTCTCTGTACCCAATAGTTACATTTGTTAGGAACAAAGACACTGGCATCAACCATTACCCAGCTGTAGGTTACCCACCTGCCAGGACTCCGGATTCCGCAGCTTGCCTGATCAGCACATGAGCAATACGCAGTTTGATTCTGACCAACAGGAGAACATGCGGGATGTAGATGTTCTTCAGAGGACCAATGGGTACAGCAAAGGCAGGATTACTTGCATGGTACTGTATTCTGTCCCCTATTATCATCATCTGAAAGTTAAGGACAGAAAAAACTCAGGGCTAAGTTGAAAAATCAACTTTTGGAGGCTTTGAATATCATAATTCTGATTTAAGTCAGACAAAAAATGGCATTTGCCAATATTTCCATTCCCTTTTGACTTACAGATAGACCAGTTCTCAGTGGCAAGGATTGTAACCAATTCAAGTAGGATGCAGAATTAATAACCACGGAATCCTGCATGATAACAAGTACTGACCTGGTCCAATAAGATGTTCTGTGCCTGTATGTACATCTGCAGCCGTTCTGCAGCTGACAACTTGCCGGCCTGTAGGTCTGTCAGCTGGACCATGGACTGTACCATCAGCAGTGAGGCAGGGGGAGACAGAGTGGCCTGGCCTTGCAGCATGTTGATAATGTCCTATCATGGTGAAAATGAGATCAAAACATCAGTCTGATATAATGAACAGATGTGCAGAGATTTTCAGAGATTATCTGTCCCAATTATATGATTTTATGCTGCCGAAGTACAAATGCCAGAAGTACAGGGGTTTCAGCACCATGGAATATGTTACAGTTAAAGTATCTGCATTCAATAGTCCACATATCTTCACATGGGAAGGAAGGCATGTGTACCTGCAGAGTTTGTCTGACATCCTCCAGTGGATGTCCCTCCTGTATGTCTAACAGCACACACTGTAGGAGGAACTCTGCCTGCATGTCCACATCCCCACAGGCCTCCGCCTCAGCCAGACCTTCTGCACAGTAGTGCCGCGCACTGCCGGCATCCATCTGCTTCTTCTCACCTTCACCTGGGGAAATGTCAGGAAACTCAGCATCATCATATAATCCTGTAGGTGTAGGTTTCCTTGTGCAAGCATCAAGCATGAAACAATCATAAGTCATAAACATACCTCCAGGCAACCCTTGAAAGAATTAACAGGGCTCATCCTGCCATAACATTAAAGGAAATCGCAGCAAAATTTGTGATGACTTACCAATAATTCCCATGCCAGTCAGCTGACCTGACAGCCCTTTGACCAGTGCTAGCCGGCAGTCCAGCCAGAGTCGTGCGTCCAGTCGAGTCCTGCTCTGGTTGTCCTGGTACTCAAACCGGTTGTCCTCTGGCTTTGTCAGTGTCACAGAGGGTTCACCTTCCTCCTATAGTAATCAATGGTTGTATGAATTTCAGACTAGTTAACACAAGTTTCATCAACATACTTTGTCGCTGGAGAACTTCATATAGTTAACAATTCAGGTCATTTGTTTTTCAATTAAGCTGCATTCCATGTGAGGCTGAATGCATTAGCAATTTCAATGGTACTGACCTATAAGTTCTTTGTAATGGCTATTGAGTGAAATAACAACCATATCTAATCATATGGCCCCAGCACACCCACCTGTGCCCTACTTTCAGACCTCCTCAGGGCAGACGTCTTCCTCTTTTCCTTCTTATTGTCAGACGTTACAAAGATGTCAGCATCTTGGATGAGCTTAAGTGCTGTAAGGACTGTAGCTGCGCTCAGGGTGGAGTGTTGTCTTTGTCTCTGGATGGCTGCAACATCCAGTTTACTCCATACAACCACTTCCAACTCAGATGCCACCAAGCTACTAGAGCCTATGGACAGAAAACATGTTGTCATCATTTCAGTGTTCACTGGGTCTAACTGTTAAATCCAATGTGTCTGAGAGAAATGAACGTCCAACCCAAACTACCAGCCTACCTTGTTCAGGATCTACATTCTCCAGGATACTGTCACAGATGGTCTGCAGCATCTGGTCAGCTGTGGCAAGCAGCATGCCCTGCAACCAACAAGTAACAGTGAATGAATTAAAAGTATAGGACAGTAAAACCTCAGGCTATTCTGCTGAACTGTTGTGGAGGACTGGAAAAAGTTTTAGTTTTTACAGCGGGGTGTTTATAGAGCTGTTACCTTGATGGAAGATGGGGTGATGTTTCCTTGGTTGTCACTGAACCTGTGACTCTCCTCCTCATCAGAGGAAGAACTGTCCAAACTCTGTGACTCTGCAGAGCAAGAAAAATAATCAAGTCTGGATACAGAGTAACCCAGAACAGGCAGATCTAGACACAGGAATGAAAACCACTCTACAAAATGAGATATTATCAGTAATGTTTAAGAAGTTAGGTAATGTTGTGATTTATATGATTGGCACACATATCTCTGATAAGTTCCAATGTAGAACACTAACCCAGTAGTTCATCAGCAGTCTTGGGAGCAGCACGTTTGGATGTGGGAGGCGGCTGTCTGGTTGTCCCACCAAAGGATTTCTCTGTCCCACCAGGCAGGACAGACTTCCTACGTCCCACTGGGACCTGGCCGAATGGATCCTCCCCAATTTTAGGCAATCTGTAAAGTTCATAAAATCTAGTCACACTGGCACTTCCAAGGGTGTTTTTGCATAAATATGCATTTTTGCTCTATCACATAGAGACAAAAAGAAGGCAAAGTCTCTTATTGAATTGATTTAGCAAGCATAGAATTCAATGAAGGTCAGATATAGGATGTAGGAAACAGGAGGAGGGGATCACAGAGATACTGGCATGACACTTGCCATAACTATATAAACTAGGTGAAGTGTTGTTAGATGAGTTTTTGGGTAATGTCACAACAGTAAGAATTTAAAGCACATCCATGAGCAGTACATACATGGGTTCCTCCTTGGCAGGCAGCGCATGGATGGTGTCTGCCAGGGCGATGATGAGATGTGCCTGGGCCAGGGTCAGGTGACAGGTCAGGTGAGGTCCGTACAGGTTAGCCAGTGATGTGGTCAGGCGCCGCTCACACAGGTAATCCAGGGTCTGGAAATATCATAACAAGGCAATCAGAAATAGCCTTTGGTGGAACATAAAGAAACTACAGTGTACAAGTATGAATGTTCAGACAGGCAAAAAATAATCCTTTACTCCCTTGTGGGTGAGGGAAACTAGTGATAAAACTGCAAGATTTTATAATCATAACATGTGACATCTCAATGTCGTCCATGGTGCTGAAAACTCAGCTATTGTTACAATACTATATCAGGTATTCTCTCTTCTTTGTTGTAACTTGGAATCATTATCATTTGCTAAATGACACATTATTTCTAGGTTTAGCAAGGAGAAACTTTCTTACCTTAAGATTACAAGGCTCTGACAGTGGCTTGGAGGTGTCAAAGTTATTTCGAGCTTTCTGGATGGAACAATGAGACAGTTGAGCATTAAATCAGGTTCACTGGTAAACAAAAAGCATTCCCAAGGTAATTCTTATCTCACACTCATCAATGTTCAACCTATAGCACAAGTTTGTACATCAAGGGGAGTGGATTTTTAATGGTATAAAACATAACGTTTGCAGAACATGTGAGGCAAATAGAAAAACCTTACTTCTATTCTATGACCTTTTTTCTATATTTGATGAGGACCAAAGACACAGTTCTTACCATCTTGGACTCGACCTGCCTGAAGCCACTGTTACTGGTGTGGGGTAACCTGTCCCCATGCAGCAGTCGGGCCAGAACAACAACAGCCTCACTGTACAGACCAAGGTCTGTCAGGATCCGCAGCTGGAGGGCAAGAAATAATCATCATGGTTATGTCGAGCTTAGGGAAATTTGGGAAGTAAATCATTGTGTGGATGCAAAAAATACTCCTGAATCAAAGTGTCAACAATGGTTCTTGCTGCCCTCTCCATGCATAGGGCAATTGGAGAAATACAGGGAGCTGAAAAAATGGTTTTGTCATGCAAGATTGGCAAAACAAAGTTGTTTGGTGTCCAAAGTCATACTCTGCAGTGAAAGTTCTATGTAGATATTACAAGTCCCCTGTCAGAAATTTTTGAGAATCAAACAAAATGTAATACCAAGCACAATTCTTCAAAAAGTCTAGTCCTTACCTTCAAGATCCTGCCATCCACAGCCCTTGCCAAGTCCCGTGACACATAAGTCACAAAGTACTGGTAAAGGGTTAGCAGAGGTAACACCTGGAAATACAGGAGGAATTCAGTAAGTTTTGCAAATAACCAACTAACGTCTCTCTCTTTTTTGAAGTGTAAGTGAACAGAAGTATGAATGTTTACACAATGAGACAAAAACCCAGAAGCTGATGACATACAACGCAAATGCAGGTAGAGACTAGTCATAACCAAAACAATTTCTACATCTGACTTGGTAGATATGAACATACTAATCATAACTGCGAGAAGGAGAAACACTTACAAACAGGTTATGCCTGCCCCTGTTGAGCTCCTCAATGACAAACCGTAGAGAAGCGACCATGGTCCTGCCGTCACACCTGAACCTGTCTGACAGGAGATCCACCCCGGGTACCAGGCTCTGTACCTCACACCCCTCACCTATCTCATACAGGGCATAGTCACGGTCTGCTGTGGGGTGAGGCAGGGTGGAGCGGAACAGTGCCTGCACAGATTAACATGGGAAACAACACAGTGGATGAGTGTCTGCTGGGTGACATTACATTTATGCCCATCTCACTGCCTGTATGACTATATAATAACTGTCCCAAATGCACATGTAACGATTGTCACAAAAGTTTGTATCTGCAGACTGAAAATAACTTCTTGTCCCTGTGTTCTTACAAGGTCATATTTATTTGGTTACTGTGCACCTCTAGTAAGACAGTCTATATGTCCTATCTGTTCTTCTGTTTACCTTGAAGAAGGCAGCAGACAGGAAGCAGCATTCCATACGAAGTCCCAGGTCAGAGGACAGGATGTATCTGTCAGGTACAAAAAAAACAGATTGAAATTTTCTGAGCTCAGACAATAGTCAATACATGCATGCATTTAAAAGCCACAATACAGCATAGAAAATAAACTGGTTTGAAGGGCTGGTGTATTAATTACACTCTGGGTCTGATCAAGTGGCCAAATCACCACTCATGCGGACTTAACAGGTAACAAACACACTAGATGTTAGAAAAGAGAGATACCCACTGTGCAATTTTTGCAGCCAGCACTCCCCCCAGCACACATCCCCACAAGCCACACTTCTTCAACAGGGTGCCAGCCAGGCTCTGTCCTGTGTCCATCAGTTTCCTCCAGGAATGGAGCGCATCAGGCATGTTCATCACAATGTCCAGCGCCTCCGACCAGCACTTGTATGCAGCTCTGTCAGAAACACAAGAATGTTTGTCCGGTCAGAGAAACAGTATGTAAGTCAGTATATCTATTGCTGGAAACCCTTATTAGTGGAGGTCTTTATTCATCATATTTAGTTGGGTTGATTTGACAACTTGTTTGGTTCCAAAGTTTGTATGTTCTACCTACCTGACATTTCCTGCATGGTACTGCAGATTGGCCAGCTCATGCATAGCCTGAGCACTCAGGCCTTTCTGGTTATGAGCAAGCAACATTTCTGGAAAAAAAAAAGCACATGTAGATATTCAATGCTTTTATGAGTCTAAAACTTGCTATGTGTCTCCTATTTACTGGAAAAAAGTGAAAAGTGCAAGTACAAAAATTCATACTAGCAGTCACATATATTGTCCTGCATTTTTCAATACAATTTGGATCCTTTAGCTCAGGTACAAAACTTTACTGTCTGCGTACAAAAACAATCATATCAGCATATACGCATCTTATTATTGGCTTAGTTTACCTATTGTCTTGTCATATGAAGAGATGACCACCCCCAGTTGGGACCTGGGCAGCACCGGGCTCTGTACTTCCATGGTTGTCTGGAACTCCTCATCCATGAGGTCCTGTGGAACGGGCAGCTGAGGACGGCTGTCAGAGGGGCGGAAACCCACTCGGGAGGGCGAGCGACTGCCACTCTTACTACTGGTGGTTCTCAGCTGGGGAGCTGTCAACAAATATGAAGATGGATGTAATACGATAAGGTGGAGGGCTTTTTTTCTACAGATTGCTAATTGTCTTTAAAGATTGCTGTCTCTTACAACACTGAATGTATTACTTGAAAAGTAGGGTGTGATGTGGAAAAAAACTCATGACTCAAGGCAAACAGGAGAATTATCATGATTCTGACCATTTTGCTGTCCGGCCAGGTAGAGCACTAGAAGTTTGCGGCTGTTGGTCAGTGCCCGAGCGGTATACTGAGACTTGTCCAGCACCTGGCGGAACGTCTCCAGGCTGTCAGTAACGTCCAGCGGCACGGCCACCAGTCTCCTGGCATGGTCACCACCTGGGAGCAGCAGCAGAGAAAAAAATCAGAAATGACTAAATGGAGCTGACAATTTATGTTAGGAACAACTGTTCAACTGTTGACTTTGTTGAAGATCTGATGGCCTATATTATGTATAATGTTATTAAGACCTGTAAGAAGAGGATGACTTACTCTCGTAGACATTGTGCCCCTCTGGGTCGATGTGACCACCAGGGTCAATCTCCGTCAGGTTGGACAGGTCAGTCTTCAGCAGGGGAGTTGTGTGCAGCTGGGAGCCGATCTTCCCTCCCACCTGTGCCATGGCGTTCTGGTAGTGAGGCTGAGGGGGCGGGAGGCCGCCGTGCTGATCCACACGAGCAATCAGCTTCCTCTGGGCGGTGATGAGCATGGGACTGACCTGTTCAGCATGTCTTTCACTGATAAGGAACAGGAAATGTTGGCATGAGCAAAGTCACTGAGTCCTCAGATGTTTTGTTACAGAAAGTCACATTAAAAAATCATTGTTAACAATATTTGCAGAAAGTGTGCAGTGGAACTCACTGAGTTAGCGCATTGAAGCGGAGGGCGACATCTGCCAGTCTCTCCCACTTCTCCTCATAGAACAGGATTTCGATGGTCCTCATGAAGATACGTCGTGTCCAGCGCAGGTCTACCAGGCTCATGTCATCAACGTGAGTCTCAAACTTCAGGCTGGCCCCGCCCTTCTCCATGCTGATGTCACCGACCCATGACTTTACAATGAGGGTATCTCCTCATCTTCCTGGTTATCGAAAAGATTCCTTCATTTACAACTTAAGGATACGTCTGTACATGTATCTGTATACTTTTAACATGCACTGTCACAAAATATCTAATACATGGAAACATGTTATCAAACACAGGTCTGCTCCTTAGACAGAATTTCTCGCATATTATAGAGGGAAATCTTTATCTAGAGTTGTTAATATTGCAATTCTGAAGTGAAGTGTAATCTAACCGTGTCCACTCTGTGTTCCTGTATTTCCAGCAGCATGTCTAGCAGAGCATCAGAAGCCAGGTAGAAAGGCCGCCACACCAGACCCCTCCAGTCCTCTATACTGAGGAGCCCCTGTGAAGCTCCGCCTGCCTGGCTGGGGTTGTAGGCCCGCAGCAGGGCAGTGTGTGCACAGTTCCACAGAGACCTGCAGGCGTTCTGCAGGAGGGACCAGTGACGCCCCCTTTCTGATAGAACCTGCACGGCAGAGAAACATATATTGATTAAGATATTGATTTGGTGTCAACATGTCCACACAGTATTTGAGGAGGGTATACATAATTATCCTATCATCACTGCAACAAGGATTTGGGGTCTTAATAAAAAGATTTTGGGAAAGGTGACAATACCTGAAAGTTAATTTCTCTGTCAATGACTTTATATGGATATAGTTTAGTAACAACACAAATCCATCATTTCATGGTAAAGCAGGTTGTATTCCAAAATTTGACATCTAAAAGAAAGAAGGGCATCTCTCAGGGAAGAGTCGGTAAATGTGCTTTGCTTATATAAGCACAAAATTAATGTTACTAACTAAAAGATGAAATGTATAAGGCAATGATAAACATACTATTGCTTTCATGAAGAAGTCAAAGGTCTTGCTGAGCGCATCCATGGTGGCCTGCTGCGTGATACTGTGGTGGTCAGGCACCAGCTTGGTGTCCACCTTGTCCAGAGAAGCATCTGACCTGTAGGTCCGAGGTGTCCTCTCACCTTCCTCCTCCTCCTGCTGGGCAGTGCTGGGAAGGACAAGGTTACCTGAAAACACAGGTGGAATATAAGGTACTGGGATGTAGAGAAAACTGCTAAGAGGCAGCATGTGAGTTCAAGGGATGATTAGCTGTTACCTGTATCAACTATGATTATAACACAGAAGGTGGCGTATAGGTAGCATCAACTGACCGATGGCTGCAGCTGCTGCAATTTCGATTCCAGTCTTTGGCCTGTCTGCGTCCAGCTGTGCCAGAGAGTCAGGGATGGACATCTCCCGTGGGTCGTCCTTGGTGGACTGCCAGTCTGGACCTCCGTCCCACCCCACCACCAGGGTGTTACTGCTCTCAAACGTGAACCATTCCTGGTCCAAGAACGAGGGTCTGTAGCAAGAAAACAGCATGGCTCAAGCAAGGAGACAAAAGTTTGATTAGCATAAAGGTACATGCACTTTACTTTTATTTATCTATCCATCTATCACCAACAAACATTTCAGCTAGTATGTTCTCTTGTGTATCCACTTTATATGCAAATGCTGCTTAAGGGATACAATATACATGTATTTACCTATAGATATGGAGGGAGGCCGTCCCCCTCAGTTTGTCCCTCAGCTCAACCTTCTCCAGGAACAGACCAAAGTGACTCAGGCCCTGCAGGATGTTCATCTGTGGGTACAACAGAACAGGATAACTTGTGATCCTGAGGATACTATCATTGCACATGGCTGATGAGATCTCAACCTTTATCATGTAATGCAATACTTGGCATGCAAGGATGGTGCAGCTCCAATGAGAATGTAATACATCTATATAAATTACAAATATAAGTCACATAAAATTTACAAATTGGTCAACAACAACGCATGAAGCTGGCCTTTCTGCTTTTCTACCTCCCAAAAAGCTTAGTTCAAGTTAAGTACTTCGAAATTTTGATTAGATAAGGGTTCTGTGTTATCTGGCAGCAGAGCATTACAGTAGCGTAGAAATTCTACACAAGAAACAGCCTACCTGACACCTCCATGGTATTTCATCTGCACAGGTTTTACGCAGACGCCTCCGTCGAAGCATCACTCTGTAGAACTCAGGGAAGTTGTGCTTCAGCACCTCCATGGCCTGTGTACAAGTGGAGGAAAAATGAGGCATACATTATTTTGTGCTAAAGCATTGCAGACATCATAGAACAGTTGTTTATTTCTAGTAATATACAATGCAATCATGATGATATTATGCACATTACTATGAGGAAGATACTCACCTTGTTCTCAATTTCTTCCTGTTGCTCCTTGGCGAGGTCAACTGGACCTTTCCTGCGGCTTGTCAACAACTGTAATGATAGTGATTTTGATTCTTAGTTTCATACATACATTCACATGTTTTCAGTTATATGTGACTGTTCATGTGCAAATGAAAGAATACATTGAATACATTGACTTAAGAAATAAATGTAAGAAGAATGCCGGCCTTAGGAAAGGAAAGGAAACTGGTAGCACACACACAAGAGAAAATACTGTATAACAAACCTTCATCTTTTGTCTTTTTTCCTTCTTCTTCTGTCTGACTTGCTCAGCTTTGGACATCTTCAGATTCTGTGAATAGAGCATAACAGTAACCAGTGTTAAGATGGTGAAAAGGGATGCAAAGAATCTCAGTCAACATTTTCCACCAGTACCAGTCTGGATGTCTTTACAATTCACAAATTTTGTAGATGGTCAGCTTTAACTCATAAGCCACTTTAAGGCAGATAATTTCTATGTTACATGAAACAAGATCTACCATACCTTTGTGTACTCCACCATAGCAGCTGCATACTTCTTGGGATCATCACCGACCAGCGTGACAGCGCCGACCTGTCTAGCCAGGCCACGAACAGCAACCATTCCCTCATTACGTCTGCAAATCAATGATAGAAATCAACATGTGAAAAGGCCGGCCTGTATGGGAGGAATTCATTTCAGATCCCTACTATCAACTGATGTCATTCAGTTGAGAGTTACAGGACTTCAAGTTAAAGCTAGAGTTCGAGCAAGACTACGATGGATGCTGAATTACAAACTAACGCAAGTCAAACCAGAGATATTTTTCATACTTTTTCAGCCATAGCAGTGAATCCTGACACCAGTCCAGCACATTTTGTAGGTGCCCCTCCATTACTGCCTTCTGGGCCACCTGGACAAAGAACTCCAGAAAACGAGCCCTCTTCTTGAACTTGATAACTGCAACACGGAAGCAAAACATTTACAAAACAATCATACATTAGGCAACATGTCCAAATATGATGCAATTAAAATGTTTACAAAAGTAAAAATGTAGTTGGTAATTGTCAGTTTTTATTTGTATGTACCTTCCTTGTAGGCCTGTCTGGAAGGCAGGGCTGCAACGTAGGCATGCAGAACATTGGGGTCTTCTTGTCCTGTCAGTTCATCACTCTGGGCTGAAGGTGGATGAGGAGGAAGGCACAATATAAGCCAAAATTTAATTTCTAATCATCATCAACAACTCACCAATGCAGGAAAAAACATATAATGCTATTCAAAAGTGAGAATTTCATAGACAGCACCATTAACAAACTGACAAATGGCAACATCACACAATCCACATTTGCACTGAACAGGTGTTTAATGACTAACCTTGTCGTGCTAGCCTGAGCATGTGGGCCTCCAGGGCTTTCAGCTCCTCATTCTGGATTCCTGACTGATCCTTGCCCTCACCTGCACCCCTCTTCTTCCCAGGAGGCCTTTTCCTGGACTCCGGTGCTGTGTTTGCTGTGCTGACTATCTCAGGTTGCAGCTCCAGGGCAGACAGTTCAGCTTTCCCTGTTGCAGTACGTGTTGATTAATGTGACAAAACTGATCTCAATCAAATACATCTGAGAGTATCATGTGGACTCATAATCATAGCTCTGAAAACCAAGGAATTGTCCATATAGATATGTAAAGTCTCTACCCCTCCCCCCCC